GATTTGGTGAGAGAGTTGGGCCTCCAAAGGATTCTTCAGAGATTTTTGGGTCCAGACTTCGGGCTAAGAACTTACTTTCTCCAGGGTCATAACTTTACTGGTAAAGAAATTGGTAGAAAGAGTTTATACGTTACTTTTCTCAATATGGTTCACTGGTTTATTGAAACAATACTGCTAAATTAATACCAAGGCTAGGAGTTGCAGTCTATGAACCAAATGAGTGGCGATTATTAATTGATTCCTCCAAAAGAATTCTGTAAGGTGTTCTCCTTCACAATGGTAACATATATGCATTTGTTCTTATTGCTCATTTTGTTCACTTGAAGGAAATGTACAAATACCCCAAACTTCTTCTTAATAAGGTCAAGTACAAAGATCATGGCTGACTACTTTGTGGAGACTTAAAAGTCCTTTGTATGTTGTTGGGTCAACAATCCAGTTATACACACTTTCCATGTTTTTTGTGTGAATGGGACAGCAGAGCATGAAATCAGCACTGGATAAAGAAGCAATGTCCATGCAGAGTCAGTCTGATACCAGGATCGAAAAACATTGAATGTGAAAGTTTGGTTAACACAAAGAAATTCCTATTACCCCCACTTCACATAAAACTGGGCTTGATGAAGCAGTTTGTAAAGGCCTTAGACAAAGATGGTGACTATTTCAACTATCTATGTGGTTAATTCCCAGCTCTTTCAGTAGTGAAACTTAAAGAAGAGATTTTTATTGAGCCTCAGATTAGGAAATTGACTTCAAATGAGCAGTTCAAAAGGACAGTGAGAAAAGTTGAAAAAGAAGCATGAATTGCTTTTAAAGATGGTATTGGCACTTTTTTAGGAAACAACAAGAAACCAAATGACAAAAATATTGTCAATAACATGCTCGATAAATTCAAATAATTGGGTTGTAATATGAGCTTGAATGTTCATTTCTTACACTCACATATTGGAAATTTCCCTGAAAATCTTGGTGGCGTCAGCAAAGAACAAGGGGAAAGATTTCATCAAAACATCAAGGAAATGGAGAGGTGGAACATCAGCACAATGAATAATTACTGCTGGTCATTGAAACTAGATGCTCCAGATGCAATACATAAAAGAAGGACCACAACAGTTCTGAGACTAAAAGACATAGATATCACAAGAAACAATCGGGATGATTGAGAATGCATATTCATTTGACATCAATGTTCTTCCATTTTCTTCAGTTTGTTTGTATTTTTGTTAACAAACATAATAATAAAAAAATATTCATTGGGGGTAAACAAAATAATTAGTTGATCTAAGTAAGTTTTTTTTCTTTCCATTTTGTAAAAAACGTTTATGTGATAGAAAAAAAATGAATATTATTTTCAAAATCTGTGTAGCTGAATTATGGAAAATCCATTATTAAAACCAAAATAACTCTTATGAAGTTTAAATTTGCTGGCCCGTGTAATCTGAATTAGTAATTCTAATAAATACTTCTAATAGGTTAAAACTGCTGTTTTTTTATGTAAATCATGTCAAACAGTTAAGATCAGGTTAAGATAAACTAGTCTTATGTACAGCAGTGTAAAACCTGATTTGTGAGACAGTGTCTTTGTAAGAAAGATAATTTAAATATCTGAGGTTTGATAACTGGTATTACTTTCATTATTAGTAACATAGTGAAAAACAGATACAGCAATGTGTGTACATATTTAATCATAAATTACATTGGGAAGATGCCAAAGATGATCATGTTAATACTACATATAACATACTAAAGACAAAAATAAAAACCCTGTAATCCCATAACTTTCAAAAAGTAGATCTCTTTTCGTCAAGACAATAGGATTTCTTTTTAATTTATTTTTTGTACCTTTATGTTTTCTTAAAATCTTTTATAGGGTATTGATATAGTTATTTCAAAATTGGTGCCATAAGAATACTTGCCAGGTGAAAAAAAAGCATTATGCATTATAAAATAATTTTTTTAAAAGTTACATATATTTTAACACACATTCTGTATCTACTTTCAAGGTGTTTTTAACAGAAATTATCAACTTTTTATAGCCTGTGAGCCAAATATGCAGTGTGACAACAAGATTTGCATGCACCCAGAATGGGTATGTGATGGATTTAATGATTGTGGGGATTATTCTGATGAAAAAAATTGTAATGAAACACGCCCTACGCCTAGACCCACTGAACACCCTGAAATACAAACAAATGGAGGTAAGGATCTCTTGTCATTTCTAAATTTTCAAAACTTTTCTGTCACATAATGGCTAATTTGATAACCAAAATCATTGTAATTATTAAAGATATTATTGTAATTGTGTAAGACTGACAATGTTTACATGGTTTACATAGATGTATTCAGAAAATTATTTGGCAAAGATAAGACTGTCAAGTAGCTCCTTGTTTTGAAAACGAAAAATTAAAATTGTATTTTATTATAGAACCAAAACATATTTTTCAAGTATTTGGTCTCTTATTTCTGTAGAACACATGAAAATTAAATTAAGTCATTGTCTCAAACTTACAAGGAACTTCAATTTATCTTCTCCATGTTAATTTCTAAGTGTTGTTTACCGGTGACTGCAAAAAAAAGAATGGAAAAGTGGTAGAAATGTGTTGCAGGAAATAATTTATAATGCTTTTTTTTATCCTTGCATATGTGGTTTTAAAGTTGGCAGTTGGTGATAGCAAAGAAATCAGAATGTGTTACTTACGTATAGTAATATAACTCCTTTTTTTATTATTTTTATAACTCAGGTTATCTTGTTGCCATTGGACTTGGGGTACCTGCGGCTTTCATCCTTGGTGTGTGTCTTACCTTTCTTGCATTTAAGCTGAAAAATCGCTCCACTGAAGTTAACTATGCTCCTTTTCCGATTATAGAAGAATAATAGGAAGGTTATACTGTGCTTAGTATTAATAAGTAGAATTGGTATTTTTAAACTTTAATTTTAACACATTCAGAGATTAACACATGACATGTGCCATTTATTTTTTGTTTTGATTAGGAGAATTTTAATAATGTAAAATAATATAATAAAATATTTATGAGCATATACGCTTAATCGACTGAAATCTATACTGTGATGCACAAGTGTCATCGCTGCAGTTAAAATTATTGTATGAGTGCTGCATGACGCACACGTGCATCATCTATCTTTTATATTTTGTCCTTGGTTTTGGATATGTTTTAAATGTACAAGAAGGGTAAACTGTAGTCATGGGAATATCATATCAAAGTTTCTGTGGGAATTTGAATTCTTCTTCATTATCATGGGCTTTGAAGGAGCACTATTTTTATCCATTTTATAAAAGCCAACCAGAAAATATATATATATATAAAAAAATACAACCAAGCAGAATTTCTACAAGAGAAAACCCTCGTGCAAGTGCCATCACAGCAGAACTTACTACCAACACATGCTGACTCTAATAAAATGAATTTGTCTCAATGTTTTCATTGACACATATATGCGTCACAGCATTGGCTAACATACCTATGAATGCACATGTGTCCAGTGGCAGTGAATGTGTTAAACCTGATGAAACTTTATTTTTTCAATTTCATGATTGTGGCAATCTTTTTAAAATACTTTTTATGTATTAAGACAAAAAAGATAATTCAATAATTTGTGCTAGTTTTGGTTCATTAAGCTTTTTGGAATGGTTATATTTCAAAATTTAATTTTTACCCTTTTTCAAAATGTTTATTTTGCAGTACAATATTCATTAATCTTTTATCAGTCTGTTTATTTATACTTCATGCTTACATAGATTAAAATTTAAAATACTACTCAGAGCAACTAACATTTACACTATCCTGTGTATGTATGTATAAGATATGACATATTGCTTTCAGAATTTGTAAATTTTCTCTGACTATAATTTGTAAGGTTTGAGTTTATCACTGTATAAAAAGTAAAGATGTAGCAGAAAAATATTTTTTGTAATTACTTTTTGTTAATGTGTTTAGCCATGTGGTACCATTTGTAGTATTGTTGTAGTTTGTATATTTTGTAGACCTTAATGCACGTTTAGGCCTTAATGCCTTTCACTGTATGATGCATTTATAATTTCATTATTGACTAGTGATAAAAGTATGTAGGCATGTGCTGTTATCTTGTTTTTATCATACTCTTTAGAAGGAACTATGTGATTGAGAGAAGTTGACAAAAATGAATTAGAATATTCTTTTGGGAAGAAAAAAAACTTTTAATGTGACCTGTAACTGTTTGGTTTAAACTTATTTATTGTACCTATGATTATTTTAAAGCATGTGTTCTTATGTAGTTTTCTATCAAAAAATAAAGGAAATAAAATTAACATTTTGAATAGTTCTGTCATTATTTCCAGAGACTTTTTAGATATAATCTGAAGCCTTTTTTTTAATGCATACTGCACTACATAATTTAATGTTTAGCATAATAGACCCTAATTACTTTTAATTTATATACTGGATCATTTAAAAATGAAAAAGCTTCCTACTACTGACTTTTACCACCAGTGTAGTCAGCTGTGATCTTGTTGCAGTTAGGTGATCTGAATAAATAAGAATACCCAAATTAAAGAAACATTAGGTTACCTAAACTTACAAGAGATTAAGCAAAAGTCTGGATATAGACTGTCATTATGTATTTGCTTCGATGGACACAGCTACAAAAACTATTTCAGTTGTTCCTGTGAAATATTCAAAGGCTTAGTAATAAAAAAAGGTATGTATTTGTAGAGAAGTGATAAACATGAGTTATAGAAACTATTTCAATCTTCTTTATGAAAAAGCAAAATAACTTGTAGCTTTGATAAAATATAATTGTTTGATTTTATTACAAGTATAACTGGAGGTTAAATATGTCATTTAGTTTTGTAGCAGCAATTACTTTATGCATTTTCAAAACTAACAGGTATATAACAACCATACCACATTCACATAATTATAATAGAAGCCAAAATATTTCTTCTCTAGGGTAAAGAAGTAAAAATTTGGAAAAGAAAAAAATCATTCTTGTTTCATAACAGGGCATGATTCTTTATCTTTAGTTTAATCAAGAGGATCAGCATGCAATTAGTGCTTTGTTAAATTCAAGTTAAAAGAAAAAGAAAAATTAGAGCTATTATATTCTGTTATACAACTTACATTTCTCACAACTGGTGTTCATATATATCCTCTATCAAGTGTTCATGTTTCTCATCAAGGTGAGCTTCACACCACAAGAGAATTTTCTACATGATTTATTTATTTAAGCAGGATATTTTTTGTAAGTTCACAAAATGAACCACATTAATCTGTTATACTAGTACACATAATGCTGCTTTGGTAGATTTTTCAGTGTGAAACTGTTTGACTATGATTTAAGCATTTTTAAAATTGTTTCACATCTGAAATTTGTTATTTCAACCCCTCCCCCGAAATATAATTATGTTAACTAGAGCAAAACTAAGTTATTCATTCTAAAATGTGTGGTTGCTGCAAATGGAGTAGCTTACTTGGTGTTGTTAGAAACAGCTTTATCTAACTCTTTGAAGAAGAGCTGGTCCTCTACTTTAGAGGGTGTGTGCAGTGAAGCAAATACTTTTGTTTCCTGTGTGATATGCTAATGGCACATAGCTGACTCTTATAGTACCTAAAAGTTTTGTTTTTTTTAGGGAGTTAGTCAAAAAGGCTGTCTACTGAATAAACATGGAGTAGTTGTATTGATTTCTACACTATCTCGTGATGGCGGAACTACTTTACAACTGCAACATTGAGCAGAGATTTCTCTGGGTACTATTGATCAAATTTTTTGCAATTGGTCCGCTATAAAGAGAATGTGGGTCATAACTACTGTTTTAGAATTATCAGTTAGATTTTCCTCTGATATTGAAGAAACAAGGTGTGCTACAGAAGTTTCATCCTTGTTTTGATACAATGTTGAGTCTGATGATCATGTGTGTGTGCGTGTGCCTTTCTTATAGTTATCCAACCTATTTATTTCATTTTGTACAAGACATGGTATAAAGATGGAACAAAAATGAACACTACTGTCAAAATGATCTATGAAAATGACACCAATAGTCAAGGCTATTCCACTGTGGTAATCCATTAAGGAAGTAAGTGGGTTCAATTCTACCTTAACAACACAAAATTTTAATACATTTAATTTATTGCAGCTCCTGCCATTAAGGAAGTAAATGGGTTCAGTTCTACTATATCTTAACAACACAAGTTTAATACATTTCTTTAAAAACTATTTTTCCTTTGTTACGTACAGGAGATTTAATCTCCATAACATTTATACAGCTAAATGCTGGTATGGTATTCTTAGGTTTAGCATGGACCAAGAATGCAGTCACTTGATCACTCGAAGCTCGTGGATCTAGTACTTGGAAATACAAATGCAGTCATTTTTGCTAACTGAATGAAAAACATGAACTGCAATAAATTAAATGTATTAGAATTTTGTGTTGTTAAGATAAGGTAGAACTGAGCTCACTTACTTACTTAATGGCATGAACTGAAATAAATGTGTTAAAATTTTGTATTGTTAAGATAAGGTAGAACTGATCCCACTTACTTGCTTAATGGCATGAACTGAAATAAATGTATTAAAATTTTGTATTGTTAAGGTAGAAGTGAACCCACATACTTCTTTAATGGTATGAACTGCAAAAAATTAAATCAGTGAAACAACTCCCAAAATGTTGAAAAAATTTGACAATCATCACTTAAACAAATCAAACATTACCAGTAATGTGGCTGTTAGCACTTGAATTGACGGCTACTGTGTTTCGCGTGGATGTTACCCTAAAGGAGAAAGCAAAGACTAATAGTGATATCCTGAGCATATTAAAGTTGTCATTAATCAAAGTAGGTTATGGAAGGTATCATACAAAGTTGTAGATTAAAGGGCATTTATTTCATTAGAATAATCAACATATTAAGAATGTTTCGCTGAATTTGAAATGATTCACAAAGTTTAAACTCTATCCAATACTGAAAAAAAGTAAAAAATGCAATAAAAATTTATTTTGAATAAATTATATATATCATTAATAATTTTTTTCCAAATACTTAAGAGAAAGCGCTATTGGCTACATGGTATAATGTTAGACTTAGGAAAATTGATTTCAATTTACTCTAGAGCTTTTCCAGCAAGTTGCCTCTCAATCAATTTATTTTTGACCATTTCAAAAGTGAAACTTGAGGGTATTAGTTTGCAAAAGATGTGAAAATCCAAGAGCAATAACATTCATTCAGTTTCAAGCATAAATTTTATTAAACTTTTACAAAAGATTTTTGTTAAATACAAAAGGAATGTGTGGTTTATGAATTTTAAGTTTTAAAACACAATTTAAAACTATTTCTCAACAATAAATATTCAAAACTCAAAGGTGTTGAAGCAAATAATTAAAGTTGCAAACGCACGTTTTTGTCATCAAAAATGGATTTTACCACAATAAAGTAAACATTTAATTCTTATTCTGAGCTTTAAAAGAATGAAATAAGACATTAATTGTACAAATTGGTTGTGCTTGCTAACTATCTGTGATATACAGACATTTTCTACCTTGTTGTTTTAATATAGAATTTATCAAAGTTTTTCATGTATTTAGGTTTGTGCAGTTTTTAACACGTGATCAAAAATTTCTTTTAGTTCATTCTAGCTAATTTGTTTGCCATTCTCTTAGAAATAACACTTGGTCTGCCCATGATGAAAAATAGCTCTACAGCTGCACTTTGTGTATGTAGATTGACAGCAGTGTCTCCAATGGTAGGTAGGTTAGATTTCAATGAGATTGAACAACAGTGACATAGGTAACATTAATGTCTAAGAGTGGCAGCAGTATATAAATTGATATACAATACTTTGACCTCACACATCTCTCTATTAAGCTCAAGCTGTCATTTTGTTAAGTAAAGGTTAAGTCTTTTGTGAAGTAGTGATACTATCCTAAAGTTTAACCTGTAACATTAACTAAATCTTAGGTACTTAGGAGAAGTTAGAGAGATAACGGTATAGTAAAGGCATTGTCCTTTATCCTTTAGACATATGTTGATTGTTTTTGCGAGTTTGAATGAAGATTATTTCATTGTGCTTATATACACTTGCATCCAGTTTCTTTCTTTCTCAAACTCAACCAGTTTAAGAGCAGTTCAGTATTATTTTGCCAAACCTCCCATTATATAGCAGAACTACGTAATTTACTCTTTCAGGAAATCATTTAACTTGAATATACCAGGTGTATGACATCCTTTGAAACAGGATTAATTTTCAACTCTGGTCATAAATGCATATATAAAAGTTTACATCATTTATTTTTAAACATACACATATAACTGTAGATAATAACAAGATATAATACAAATGTTTGTTTCATAATGCTCATTTTACATTTAAACCAATGAGAAAACAGCAGCTTCTGTATATATTGTTATCTAACAAAACTTATCAGAATGACTGTGCATACATTTTGTACCCATTACAGACTGTACCCAACTAAATACCTTATGATCAAAATAAAATTGGATTGGAAGAACTACAAACTTAGCTGCCACAGGAACATTCTAGTTGATGAATTATACAACATTCAAATTGCTCATGTTTATGTGTACACACATACATCATATCTTTTTCTATATTTAATGAAAAATTAAAATTAAGTTCTTCTGCTATACATCATTTACTTTTCAAATTACAAAAAAAAAGTTGACATACAAAATAATGATGTCAGACTCCTTCCTGAAAACAGGTGATAAAGTAACAAACTTAGTAATTTTAGATTTCTGTTGTTCACTAATATTATGTATAACAAAGGCTAGAAATTAGTAAAATAATTTGTTTTTCTTGTAAAAACAAACAGTGCACTGAAAACACTGTAAAAAGTAACAAAACTAAAGTTTGATTACTGATGTTTTTTTTGTTAATAGGCTTCTGTGGGAATGAGAACTAAATAGCATTACTTAAATACAGGAGCTAATTTGCAAGTTGTATTGTTAAAAATCTCTTATAATACAAGAATTATCAACTGATAAGAGAATTACAAGTATAGATTATATAAGTAACAAAATCTTTGTACATGACATTAAAATAAAACCAAAAAAGTAAAAGGCACAAGAGTGATAATAAGACCAATTGGATATATACCTATAACCTTCTCAAGATAATATTTTATGGAAAATATAACTTTTCAGAAAAAAGGTTTAATTGTGATGTTTTTAAAGTAAAATAAATGAAGTTTCGAATATTAAAGAAATATATGAAGTCAGTGAATACATTTAAATAAAACCTTAATAACTGAAAAATTTAAATTTTACTGTTTTTTTGATAATGTACATGCATACTGAAATAACAAAAATATGGGAAACAAATTTTGGGACTGACATCAGTTCTACAACAAGCAGTAACTCCATGATTTGGTTTTCTTCACATAACCCAGCAATCACTTGATATACATATTCTAAAAACACCTTGGTGTTTTCGTTAGTGTATTCAAAATTATTATATTAAAATTGTCTTTATAAGATAATTCAACTATAATAAAAATATTAACTTGTGTATAAATGGATAAACGATTGTCATGGCTGAAAGTTTTTACTTGGCTCATTAAAGAAATATTTATCTTAAATAGAAGCTGCATTGCCATAAGTGCACTGAATAATATTTATTTTACATTTTTACCTGATAAGTAGCATATTCAATACTACAATAAACTTCAGTGTGACTTAAAACCTGAGATAAATAATCACTAACATGAAAGAACAAAACAATCGAGAATTATACAAAAAAAATACTGAAGGTTCTACACATTTGTTAAATATCCTAACAAATAAAATTCTAAGCATCTTATAAAAACAAATTGCAATTCTATAAACAAAATTTCCTATTCTGAAGTATTCTTAGGAAGTAGTCATTAATAACTAGTTTTTTTTCTGTCATTTTTGAAATACTGATGAAAATTGATTTTTGATCAAAAATTTTTCACGTAGTTTTCGAGTTCTTTAACTTCACCTGGAGTTTCAGAGAAGACTGCTTTTGTCTTTTTACTACTTTTACAATGGCATCTCTGACGATGTGAAGATTGTTTAGAAGGTTGAATTCCATCAGTTTAGAGAGCCGGTCAAACTGGAGTGGTTTGTAAGAAAAATTATAGATGCTATATGGTGTGCTAGGATCACTAAAGATATCAAAGTCTGCAAATTTTTTTTCTTCATCTGTCACATGTTTGAGTCCTGCAACCACACATTGTAAGAGTAATAAATTATTTTGTTTTGTATAAAAAATATATGCTTTTTTTTCAGCAAAGGCATGGATACATAATGAGACTGCATGCTGACTTAAATACAAATTCAATGTTAATACTTTAGTTTGAGTATGTAATTTGACTTATTTATATTCTTGGTAATACTACCAAAGCTTTATTACATGAATATTTGAATTTTGTTTATGCTATAGCATTTAAAGTTATGGTCAAAACTTCCATAACTACACACTTTTGCTGGTTATTTTATGTTTTATGCAATTACTTGATTCTTTTTTAAACACAGTACTTTTTAAGCTATAAACATAAAAGATTTCCAAATTCTCTATATATGCCACATTTTCAAACATTAAAGCATCATAGATTTCTCTCTTTTTCCATGCACCCATATTCTACAACCTGAACAGCTCTAAAACAATGTGATTGTGTAAAGCATAAACCATTGAAGAATAATTTTTGAAAATCCTATGTAATGAACTTCTCAAGCAATATTTTCTCTACACACGATGGTAGTCATCAGTGATATATATTAAAATACATGATTATGAATTATAGTTTTTATGTTCAGAGGTGATAAAAAGGGTAAAAATGTTTAGCCACTAGCTTACCTGGTTCTTTGAATCTTCGAAAGTTTACATTCACCAGAGGAAAATGAATAATGATAGGACAAGAACTGTTATTTGGATCTTCAAACAAGTAACATTCTCTTATTGGTTCTTTAATCAGTTGCTCAACATGGTCTTTAATGGGTGGAAACAGAAGGCCATTCCTCTGAGCCCACTGTTCAGATCTTAATAGTTCCTAGTTGTGAAAAAATACACATAGTAAGTAAAAAATTCTCAGGATCTTCAGTAATACATTATATCAAGTACATCTTTATAAAATGGAAAATAAATGCTTACTAACTTCTGTATGTAAATAGAACAGAAAAGAAACATTTATGGAATTCTAAATGATTGAAGTGTTGAAATCAGTACAGTGATAACAACACATTCTTTGAAATTTGCAGATATTTATATGACTGCCATCACAATATCTTTGCACTGATGCAGCACTTCTCCAATGCAATGACTTACATAATAATTATTCTTAATATGACAGGAATGTTTTGTCCTAGCAAGGTAAGTATACAATCATTACTTTGGTTTACAAAATTATGAATTATAACTGACTTTCTTTATGAATGTCTTGTAGTAAAATCTACTTTCATCACTTAAAAAAACTGTTGTGTAACAAGCTGTATCATTAGTGTCTCATAATCCTAGCAGCATCAGCAGCCTAAGTACATTTTATGAAATATTTTATAAACAACCAAAAAACTAAACTCATAAAAATGGTGCAGTGAAGCCAATTCATTAAATCTTGAACTGAATTATAATATTATGTTATTTACTCAGTAATGGAAGTACTAACATTACTTGATGATGAAAGTAGTTTCGTTATTTAGTGACAGAAGCAATAATATATGCACCAATGAGATATTGTGTGTTATTAGCTAAAAAGGCTTTTAAATAAAATTTTGTAACATTTAATGATTAAAATGTTTGGTGTATATCATACTTAGTTTCAGGTGTAGTTTAGTTTCTGTCAATAGAATTCAAAACTTGCCCAACTTCCAAGATTTAAATTATCAAATTCTGTATGTGTACCATTTCTATGAAATGTTCATGGTGTTAGTTTTACTGTCACAAGTCAAAAAAGGGCAAAAACCAGACAAATGTAATATATTTTTTAATTTTTTTGACACATGTAATAAATAGTTTGATAAACAATGAAATAACAATAAATACTTAAAAAATAGTGCACTTGTTAAGAAAAATTTAAACAACTCTATCCAAACTAAAAATTGTGGGCAAAATTTAAAAACCTTAGTGTATAGACAGAAGGTCGATTTAGTTTTTTTTTTTTTATTTGACACATATACACAATGTTGAAATGCATTTCACCTGATAAGTGACTAAGGTACCTACAACTCCTGAAATAGCCAACATCATAGAAGTAAAAGTGATAGCTTTACAGTAGATCCTGATTCATAGGAAGTGTAATTTTTAGTACAAAATGTCATAGTGAATAACATAGTAGTTTCAAACATTTTAGAGTGCATTTAGATATTTGTTCAATGTTAGAGTATACATTTTAAGACTAAACTGATTTCATAAGAAAAATAATCATTAAAAATTTTTCAAACTAAATAGGCTTATTTTTATATAAACAAAATATTTCTCAACTACAATCCTATCAAAAATTTGTTTAATTGTTCATGATGCTTAGAAAACCTGTGATCAAAATGTAAGTGAATTACAAAGAAAGGAAAGCCTGCCTTTCAAAATGCAAGGAACATAAGATTTTGTTAACTCTTGTGATGTTACAAATTAAATAACCACAACGTAATTTTATACATTAGTTTTAAAGCACAAAGATAACTACAAGAGATTTTACTGTATTACTCAGTCCTCATCGTCAACCATGTATCCCTGATATTTACAAATTTAAAACTGTTACCTTAAATGGATGTGTATCATCAGATGGACGACCACTGAAATCGAAGGTCAGGATAATTTTCACATTTCTAGGAGGTCTCAGCAACAGAGGAAAAGGAAGGTTAAAGGTCAGACCTCCATCAACCAAATAAAGAGACTTAGTTTGTGTGTTGGCAGGCTGGTTAATTCCTTTATACCACTGATCTAATGAAAGAATATACCCATATAACATTTAAGTTTGCCATATATAGATGCGTAAATATCAAGATGACTGACCTATTAGATAAGTTATGCAATATGAGAGACAAACACATATATAGATCTCTGAAATGTTAAAAATGTTTAACAACTTTTATTTGCTGATTTCTCTTCGCAATATTCTTCATATGAGTAGAAGTGATGTATAAGTAAAGATCTTAATATCTTACAAATCTGGGGTAATAAAATTTCCCATTTGGTGTGTTGTTTACAGGGTAGGAATAGTTGCCCACTCACTCATGTGTGGAATATATTTCAGATTCTGAAAAAAATGATTATTCCAATTTGCAAAACATTATTGTACATAGTGAATTTAACTTATTGGAAAATGGTATTCCAGCCAGTGGCCTTGGGATAGGAGAAAAATAAATTGGTAGGTTGGAAGATGGAATACAGAAAATGGTACCCATAGAAACCCATCCTGATAGATTTTGGTTGTTAAATGACTCTCAATGACTCTCATGTCTGAAATTAAGGATGGAAAAGGTGTCCTAAGATAGAGTGTTAGAGCTAAAAAAGAAACACATTCTTCAAAATTTTCAAATTATAAATTTTTTTTTAATGAGTTAATTAGCATTTTTTACATCTGCAAGAAAAGTAGCAGAGGTGTCATATACAGTAATAATGACTGTGATAAAGGGGATAGAATCCAAAAAGTTTGTAATGATAATTGTATAGAATTATCCCCCCCCAAAAAATAAACAAATATATTCTCACGCCGGTTTTGTAGAGAAGATACATAATATTTCCACACATTGAATGTCTGCCTTTTAAGGTGATTCCACTTGACAAATGATTAATTTGAACATAAATAAGGAAAGCTATTTACAATCAATACATTCATTTCTAACTACTCCTAAAGCACAGTACTGTATCAAAGTGAATGTTCACAGTAAATACCAACTTACAAATCACCACCTTCTAACCCTTGAAATTCATATCTATTCAGCTGTTTCACTTCATAATTTAAAAGCCACATTTAAACTCTCAGTTCCATTCAAGTTTCTCGCAAAATGTCTCTCTATGTAGACACACCACAGCTGTCAATGCTATACAGCTTTTTAACTCTTGTTTATACACATGGATCATAATAATCAAGTGCAGAAAAAATTAATTGAAAATGTGTTAACTGAATTTCATCTTTTTTTTCTTCAAAAACTTGAGAAGCCATGCATGCTTGGTCGCTTATATTAGGTCGTCACTCCCAAAAGAATGTACATCACATATAATAGTTAAACAAACTGCGTAAATGTCACTTTAGTGTAGCCTATATAATACATAAACTTTAGTATAATCTAATTCCTTATAGTAATGGCACACAACGAGACACACATTTGGTGTGTAATGCTGTGTCATTACAAGAAGTTCCTCTGGAGCCAAAAAGAATATAAAAGAAGTTTATGGAAATGTTTTGAACTTTTGTAAGTGTCAACGATGGTTCAGAAAATTTCATTCAG